TCCTTTCCCAAAAATCATAGCCCAAGTTTCGCCTTTTCTTGTAATTAGGATCATTGCATAATGGCTTCCTACCTTTTACCGGAAGAAGTGCATCAGCAGCATTAGCCATTTGAGCAGCACATATAAAATATGTCAATTTTGCAATTGATGATGAACCACATCTCTTCATGGCTATTGAAGCCTCGCCCTCTGAGAATCCCATTTCTTTTCAAGTATAACAGTTTACTCTCCTCATTAGAATCAAAATTCAAGGTTTTCTCGGTATTAAAAGAACTATCGATATTTGCGAAATTATCTTGAAAGATCACTTCATAATCAGATGAGTTGTTATCAGAATCAACATGTTGCATGAGTGCGAGCTTTTCAAGAGTCTATACTATTGAGTTTTATTCTCAAGAGATTTTGTGACATTATATCTACATCTACATTTATCAAAGATGATAGATTCTCTAATTTGAAGAAGAAAGATTTATTGGGTTTCTACAACTGAAGAAATACTCAGTTCACCAATCTGAAATCAAATAACTTAACATTCATGCATCATATTTAGGCATTTGCAAAAATAGGTGCATTTTCATTCATTCTCATCCATGTTGAAATTCGACATGAATTTCAAAGGTTTTAGCAAAGATTCAAATCCATCATTTGAAGATCAGCTTTTCTAGAAAAAGTTCATAATGAGAAGAACTCATTTGAAGAAGGAAGAAGAAGTTCATAATGAGAAGAATTTGTTCAACCTTTTGTTTAAATTTATCATTTGACGGATTAACATTGAAGGTAGAGTTCATAATGAGAAGAACTCATCTGAAGAAGGAAGAAGAAGTTCATAATGAGAAGAATTTGTTCAACCTTTTGCTCAAATCCATCATTTGAAGATCAGCTTTTCCAGAAAAAGTTCATAATGAGAAGAACTCATCTGAAGAAGGAAGAAGAAGTTCATAATGAGAAGAATTTGTTCAACCTTTTGTTTAAATTTATCATTTGACGGAATAACATTGAAGGTAGAGTTCATAATGAGAAGAACTCATCTGAAGAAGGAAGAAGAAGTTCATAATGAGAAGAATTTGTTCAACCTTTTGCTCAAATCCATCATTTGAAGATCAGCTTTTCCAGAAAAAGTTCATAATGAGAAGAACTCATCTGAAGAAGGAAGAAGAAGTTCATAATGAGAAGAATTTGTTCAACCTTTTGTTTAAATTCATCATTTGATGGATTAACATTGCCAAGTAGAGTTCATAATGAGAAGAACTCATCTGAAGAAGGAAGAAGAAGTTCATAATGAGAAGAATTTGTTCAACCTTTTGCTCAAATCCATCACTTGATGGATCAGCTTTTCCAGTTTGAGTTCATAATGAGAAGAACTCATCTGAAGAAGGAAGAAGAAGTTCATAATGAGAAGAATTTGTTCAACTTTTTGCTCAAATCCATCACTTGATGGATCAGTTTTTCCAGAGAAGTTCATAATGAGAAGAACTCATCATCTGAAGAAGAAAAAGTTCACAATGAGAAGAGCTTATTCAACCTTTTTGCATAATTTTATCACAGCATCAACCTTTCCAGAGAAAGTTCATAATGAGAAGAATTCATCTGAAAAAGAAAGAAGAAGTTCATAATGAGAAGAGCTTATTCAACCTTTTGAATAACTCTATCACAGAAGGAAATAGGTCAACATCATCCCCAGCAGAAAGTTCATAATGAGAAGAACTCATCTGAAGAAAAAGAAGAATTTATCATAATCAAGTGAAGCCAAATGGATAAAAAAAAATTATTATCTTTTCGTCTTTGCCCTATTCTTGTTAATACAATAATGAGCAAAGAGGGGCAGCTGAAGATACTAAATTTTTTTTACCCATTTTATTATTATTATAATTATTATTATAATTATTATTATTATAATTATTATAATTATTATTATTATTAAAAAAAAAATAATTACAAACAGGCCCATATTATCTGGCCCATTACAAATGGCCCAACTAAACCCTAACAGATTAGGGTTTGATCTAACCCTAGCTGCCTCATCATCTCAGCCGTTGGATCTTAGAGATCCAACGGCCCACACTCCTCCAGATGCAAAACCTAGGGTATGATACCCTAGGGCCACGCGGCCACCGCAGCTACTCCCACCATCTCTACCGCTGCCACGTCTCGTCGGAAGCTTCCAGAAGCGCCACTCCAGCCGCACACATGTCGCCCCAATGGTGAGTCACCACTGGGAGTCTGGTGACTCACCAGACTCCACTCTTTTACCCGGTCCGATGGCCACACCGGTGATGGCTATAAAGCAATCACCCAATCTGCAAAGAAAAGAAACCCAACAGACCCCAGAGAGACAAAACCGAGAGCAAAGATACAAAAATAGAGACCAACTCACAACAACCAGCAACCAAAAACAAAAGAAAAGGAAGGAGAGAAGCTTACCGAGGAAGCCACGACCACCGGACCTCTTCAAACGTCACCAAAACCTTCAAAAATCGAAGGTACTTTCTTAGATTTGCCCCGATTGGGAGCTTTTTAAAAGAAAGGAACACCAGAACCGTCATTAGGACGGTCCGATCTACATAGTGGTGTAAAAATAAATTTTTTCGGCCACCGGATGCGGTGGCCGGCGGTGAGAATCACGGCGGCAGACGGCTGCCGCCCGGTGACCGGCTTCCCTCCGGTGAGGGAAGCCAGAGAGAGGCGAGAGAATTCTTTTCTCTCTCAGTTAGAGAGAGAAGAGAAAGGAAAGAAATGAAGATGCTGGCCCTTCGGGCCAGCCGTTTGGGGGATATATACCCCTTCCCAAACGACGTCGTTTAGGGAAGGGGTATGTCCGTAATTTCCTTTTGGCTAAACCCTTTCCGCAGCTATCTTAATTTTGTAATATTCCATTTTAGTCACTAAAATCAAATCTTAAATGTTTTAATTTGATCTTTTAATTTTGTTTATCTTATATTTTAATCACTAATCTGTTTATATAAATATTTTAGGAAAATTACTTATTTAGTCTGTTAATTTTAATAATTAATATTTTAATCATGAGTATATATTTTTAATTTATTTTAATCTGATATTTGAATTTTATATAAGTTTATTTTAGTCACTAAATTAATAAATAAGGAAAATAGCATGATTAATCCCTATAATTTTAAATAATTAATTAAGATTAAGTATTTAATTTTAATTTTATTATAATTTATTCACTAATTTTAAATATTTTCATTTATTTTACTGCTTTTAAATATATAATTGTATTTTTATTGTTTTAATTTTACTTGTTAATATATTTGAATATTTTTTTATTATATAGTCATATAAATATATATAATAAATAATATTTAATATTTTTTTATAAATTATTTTAATATTTATTTACTTATTTTTCAATATCAAAGAAAATGGCAGTCTTAATACAACTGGATGTCTTATTCTGGTATTTTAAAATTAAATATTATAAAAAAAATTAATATATATCGAAGAAAAGAGCTGTCTTAAGGTACCTAGAAGTCCTTTTCTGATATATTTTTAAATAAATAAATATTTTATTTATAAATATATAAATTAATATTTTTTTCGAAATAATAAGATTATAAATTAAATATATTTTGAATTTTTAAATTTCTAATAATAGAGACAATTTATAATTAAAAAGTACCAATTTTGGGCGTTGTAGGGGTGCTAATCCTTCCCTAAACGTAACCGACCACGAATCCCTTTTTATTATTAAAAAGAAAGAATTTTTGGTTATAAACGCAGATCAGTTCATCTTTTAACTGATGTTTTCTTAAAAACTCTGTTAAAAAATAATTTTTAGGTATTCGACCTACCTGACCCAAAAGGCCGATGGCGACTCCCAAATTATTTTCAAAACCATTTATTCACATCAATTTTCCAGTCAAGTAAATATTTCGTGCCCGGCCGAAAATCGGTTACGACACATATTCATTCACATTTGATTGTGATTGTCCTATGATTACATAATGATAGCATATTCTTCGCCTCTTTGGTTCTATCTTCAATTCTAATTTACAATACTTCACTCTTTCACTTTTTTTTGCAGTCAAAATTACCTTGTAAAGCTTTTGTTTCCGAGAAGCATGATTCATCTGGCTGTGGTGTAGAGAAGAAAGATGCTTCATCCCGAGAAAGTGAAATTTCAAAATCAACTTCAAGCTGTGATGCAGATGATATGACAAAAGCAGCCTCAGAGTTCACCATCTTAGGTGTTATTTTAGATATACGCTTTGTTTATTCTAGTAAACAATGTTGAACTACATTATATTTTCACTTTAATGTAAATTGTGATTTATTATTATGGATTTCTAGTTTGTTGTTATGGATTTCAAGTTTTTTGTTATGAATTTCAATTTAGATATATGGATTTCAAAATGTAAACTTTAATTTTAAAGAGCAGGGAAGGGCGTTTGAAAAATAAGTTTTAATTAGCGGTGATTGTATAACAAAATACCACTAAATACATAGTCAATACCAGCGTTTGTAAAACAAAACAACACTAAAGTTGAAGCGACACTTTATAGAAAGTGCCACTATATACGAAGTCAATAGCGGTGTTTTACATTCATAAACGCCACTATATGTCATAACATTTAGCGGCAATTTTGGGAACAAACACCACTAAATAAAAGATAAAAAGCGACGTTTCTATAAACGCCTAGTGGCGTTTGATGTTCACAAATGCAGCAAACTTTTGCGATGTTTGTTTTTGCGCCAGAAAGATTTTTAGCAGCGCTTAAAAATGCCACTATATAACTATAAAACGCCTCTAAAAACATATTTTCCTGTAGTGAACAGTAAAAATATTTTGATTTAAATGAGTTGATTAGTCAAAATATATGTTAATTATTCATGTTAGTCAACTTAGTTTTTTGCAAAAAGTTTCGAAGTATATAACAAAGTATTTAAGGGCTTCTTTGGCCTTGACAAAGTCTAAAGTATTACAGTTTAAGGTTTTTAATGTTTTTCCAACACTAGTGTTTCGAATTCTATATAAAGCCCTGCAGTGTACAACAAGCAGCACAAAACCAAATATTATTCAGGTAAACATATTGAGAAAGAAAGATGGAGAAACACGTTATAATAGTTGCATCCGCAATAATATTTTGCCTCGCCACAGTACCAGTCTATGGCCAATACTACTCCGAAACTGTTACGCCACCGCATCGGCCGGAGAAGATGACCCGGCTCCACTTCTTCTTCCACGACATCCTCAGTGGCAGCAACCCTGGCGCGGTCCCAATAGCCCTTCCTAACACCACCAACCCGGGCCTATACCTCACCTTGGTTGCAATGGATGATCCCCTGACCGTGGGGCCTGATCAAACATTGACGAGAATCGGAAACGCCCAAGGGCTCTATGTATGGACCGGTAAAGACCCTACGCAGTTCGGTGCAGTTTTGTACACCGATTTCGCGTTTACTAGCGGGAAGTTTAACGGGAGCTCGTTCAGCTTGTTCTCGCGATTCCCGATCACGGAAATCGCTCGTGCGAAGGAAGAAGTTGTTGAAATGGCGATCGTGGGAGGGAGAGGTGCGTTTAGGATGGCCAGAGGGTATGCTCTTACTCGGGGAACTTATGTAAACCAATTTAATGGGGATGCTGGTCTCGAGTTCAATGTTACTTTGTACCATTACTAAACCAGGCATCAATAATTGTTGTAATTCTGTGAATTAGAATTGGGGAAATAAAGCCATGATCCGATCTTCATTGTAACAATTTATCCTGTTTTGCCGAATACTTAATGGTATATAATATAAATACATATACAAATTAATCTGAACTTTATATAGAATCCAATACGCAAAGGATATAGAACTTTATATGTATTGAACAAATTGCTTTCGTGCATTACGTGTACTAAGCGCTGAGAGATGATGGGGTTGACCTTAGGAAGGAAAAAAGAGTTAAGTCACCGTCCGCGAGGAGCTTTTAATAATTCCAAGGGATTGATTATACAAACAAAGATAAATAAAATAGGGTTATTAATATTATACAAGATATCACTGAAAACGTACCGTTGAACTAGAAAAAGATTATTAAATCGTTAACGGCGATTTGAAGGGATTAATTAGACAAATAAGGATAAAAATATATATATTTATATTTTTTTGACCCCTTAAAAGATTTATATAATATATTATTAAATGTAATTGCCCAAAAGAAAGTATGTTTTACTTTGAAACTTAGAAACCACTTAAATATTATTTATTGGAAAGATGTATTTACTTTTTATATTAATATTTTAATTTTAAATGAATGAAAATCTATTCTTCTTTGTTATTTTTTTATTTCAATATACAAAAATTTCTTTGTGCGTGTGTTTTTGGTTTAGTTGGTTTTTATGAGTTGAAAACTTCAATTAAGTTATCAAGCATTTTATTTATGTTGAACGTAAGCTTTTTTTAAAAATATTTTTCATTTCAATTTATATTTATGGTTTTACTTTGAATATAAATAGAAAGTTAAAAATTTATTGATTAATTTTCATATTATGTTAATTTATTATAAAATTAAATTAACATATTTTTATGGTTATATTTTATAGGTTGTGTTAAATTATGAGCAAACAAAAAGATTTGATTCTTTTTTTTATATAAAAAAAATAGTGATAATATAGAAAGTAGTATGTCATCGAAAACTGCAAGGCTTGAGTATCAGAGTTGTAGTCAATCTCCTCTTAAGTCTCCGGTTGTTTAAGTTGAAGACGTTAATCTTCTGTTTATAAAATGTGATCTTTGGTTACTTCTTTGGCTTATTTAATGACGGTGCCTCTCCCAGTAGAGATAGTATCGTTGATGGGTCAGCCGACCATCATACTACGGCTAATGATTGCCCTACAAGTAGGATTGGGTTTGAGGAAGTCAAAATGGCTATTAGAAATATGGAGCTGTCGGTCAAGATCAAATTCTTATCACTGTGTGGTTGGCCCTAGGAGAAGAGGCTGTTAAGTGGTTAACCAACATCTTTAATATTATATTAGAGACTGCCAAGATGCCAGAGGAGTAGAGAGAGTCTACGGTGATACCAATCTATAAGAATAAAGGAGATCCCCAATGTTGTGGTAACTACAGAGATATTAAACTACTCAGCCATACCATGAAGCTATGGGAAAGGGTGATAGAGGCTAGGTTGAGACAGGTTACTAGGGTTTCGGAAAACCAATTTGGATTTATGCCAGGCAGGTCTACTACAAAGGCAATTCATCTACTTCGACGGCTTATGGAGAAATATAGGGGAAAAATAGAGATCTTCACATGACGTTCATTGACCTTAAGAAGGCGTATGATAAAGTTCCCCGCGATACGATCTGGAAGACCTTGAAATCGAGACGAATCCCAACTGCTTATATCCGAGCGATTCGTGATATGTACTGTAGATCTACTACATTCATCAGGATACAGTTGGCGACACCGAGGCTTTCCCAGTGGAAATCAGACTCCACCAGGGGTCGACTCTTAGCCCTTACATCTTCGGCTTGATTATGGACGACATCTTTTGTACGACACCAGACGGGGTTCCATGGTGTATGCTTTTTGCTGACGACATTGTCCTAGTTGCTGAAACAAAAACTGAGCTAAATAGTAGACTGGCTGCCTGGAAGACTACTTTGGAAGAAAAAGGTCTAAGGATCAATATTGAAAAGACTGAGTATTTATGTTCAAACTTCAGTGGGAACCAAAACGATGAAGATGAAGAAGTATGCATAGAAGGACACGTTCTCCCATCAAATGATTGTTTCAAGTACCTAGGGTCTATGATACATAAAGATGGGGGTGTGGATGATGACGTTACACACCGTATTAAGGCAGGATGGCTAAAGTGGAGGGCTGCTACTGAAGTTTTGTGTGACAAGAAGGTGCCTCTAAAACTTAAGGGAAAATTTTATAGAATGACAACAAGACCAGCGCTACTGTATAGATCAGAATGTTGGGCATTCAAGAAGGATCACGTAAGGAGGATAAAGGCCGCAGAAATGAGAATGCTTCGATGGGCATATGGTAGGACTCTGTGGGATATGACACCAAAATCTGCTATTAGGATGTCCTTGGGGGTGGTGCCTGTATCCGAAAAATTGAGGGAGGGAAGACTATGGTGGTTTGGACATGTCCTTAGGTGACAACCGTCGGATGCAGTCATGAGGGTAGAGTCAATTACAATCGACGGTGCCAGAAGGAGAGGACGACCAAGGCGGAAGTAGGAAGATTGCTTGAGATTTGATTTGAAGGATTTAGACCTTACCGAGGACATGACCTCTGATAGGAAATTATGGAGACTTAAGACCAGGATAGCCGAGTAGTGCGGGTCACATCCGTAGGGTGTATCATCTCTGTCTTCTTTTAATTACTTTGTAGTAATTTACATGACTTCTACTTTTTATATGTTTATGTCAATGGAAATTATGGAGTCTTAGAACTAGGGTAGCGGAGTAGTGTTGCCTTTGTTTAGGTTTTAACCCATTTTATTTATTCCTTCTCGTAGCTTGCTATCGTTGGCTTCTGTGTATCCTTCTCTTCATGTTTCCTCTTTTTAAATTTTGTCGGTTCTTACGTTTCTGTCTATTGCAAAGATTCTTATGCAGGTATTTATTTGCAGGGATTACTTCCCATTTACAGACGCGCATATTGAAGACTGCATTATTAACACTGTTCAACTATGTATTTATTTATGTAACTATACATGCATTGCATTTTATCTTTATTTTTAATTTTCTGAATGTTGGAGGTCTTCCACGGAAGCTGCTTTCAACCTGGCGTTGGGGCAGCCTACTACCATACCTCCCCCTTACCCATTGTATGTGGGAATAGGGTTTTGTTGTTGTTGGTGTTGTCGTCTTTTATAGTATGATATTTTAATTAATAAGTACAAATTTTTAAATAACCCCAACAAAAATTGTCGAGTTTAGCCACCGGGACTATGAATTATATAGTAAGCTTTGAAATAAAAATTAATAATTTTATATCCAAGACCGAAGATTTTCCACCATATTTGATTTAAATTCAACCTACGAATTATTTTATTTGTAGTCAAGATGGAGTTTGCAAGTTTGTTGACTATCCTAATTATTAGTAAGTGATGAATTCATCCATAATCAAGAAATCATATGTAAATATCAAATTTTGTTCGGGTTTAAGTTAATGTGTCCATAATAACTCAATTTTGATCTGAACGATTTACTCAATTTGGACTATAATTGAATTATTGAGTCATTTAACTTGGGTAAAATATAGTGTTGGCCCCTTTTGGTCTTTTTTATTTTGACCACTAATTTAAAAAAAAAGTTATATCTGGTCACTTTATTTTTGCTCTATCCTATTTTGGTTACTGAGTTTTTAACTCAGTTAGTTTGATGATGTATCGTACTAGTAAAATGGTTAAATTTTAACTTGACCCTTAAACTTTAGCCGTAATACTAATTTAACTCTAAAATTTAAATAAAATACTAATTCATTCCCTAAACTTTAGATAAAATATTAATTTTACCCTTGAATCCAATCAAAACTCTAAACAGAGGTTAAATAGTCACAACCCCAAGATTAGGGGATGCAAAGATTCTATGTATAAAGGAAATGCCCATTTCAACAGAAACTCTACCTCTTTGTAACAAAGATTCTCTGCAATGTCATATTGTCTAGTTTTCGACAATTGTATCATATCTTATCATACTTCAAACATAAGACGATGACGTGAATAGCTTTTTTTTTTACATAAAGTAAATAGTTATACTTCATCGGAAATAAGGGATGACGAGATTCTCTGCATAAAGGAAGGCTCATGTTTCTACTATTGTTTATTATAATGGTCAAATTTTAAAACTGAGATGAAAGTTATTTCTGAATAAGAGAAATCTTTCATCATTTTCTTCAAGAGAAACATTACACTTAAAGAGTTAATCATTATGAAGGTTTCCTCCAAAGTTTGAGTTAGAAATGATAAAATATTCTCTTCATTATATTATGAATTCCCTATTGCATTGGTTCCATTAACATGTAAAACGTTTCGGGAAAAAATAATCAATTGAAAGGTTAAAGTTATTGAAAACATAATTCTTTGGACAAAATTTTAAATCTAACTCTAATTCTAATCTTGCTTAGAGGGAGTAGAAGGATGACTCTAGGAGAAGGGGAATACTATTAGTAGCAAAGAGCATATGAAGAAACAAAAAAATGAATAATTTGATCAACCGAAGAAAAATATTTGCTCACAATTTTTTGGCTAGATCTATACAATTTAATTGAATAAATATATAAGGAGTATAATATCTTAATGAGACTTGGAAAAGTAAGATGCTCCTACCTAAAGCCGTATTTTTAAATAAACGAAGTTGCATTATATTTTCTTTCCTAGTATATATAAATTTTGGAACCTATCGTTTTCAATCAAATTTGACTTTGATTTCTTCTTCTTCTTTGAGGTTTGATTTTTAGCTATTAATTTTGAAATTGAGATATAAATTATTTTGGTTTAGGAAATGACCAAGAGACTCAAACCATTTTGTTATTTTAAAAAATTATAATAATTCCACATCAAATTTGTGCTTGAATGTCTAATATATTTATAAAAAAAGCCTTCAAAATATTGATAAATAACTCCACATCAAAGACCTTTGACCAAGTCAAATAATAATAATAATTTTATTTATTAATGAGATTATAAATATATGATTTTCTTCTATTT